GGAGTGAAGGGTCACTCCTGCAGCTTGCAGGATGATGGACAACTTCATTAAGCTGGAGGTGAGGACCCCTGGGTGGGTTTGGTGAGTCTGGACCTCTGTTTGGTTTTGGTCTCCCATCAGTGATTCAGTGATTCCCACTCTGCACCTGGGTTTGAAGCAGAAATAATTCCACTGACTCACCTGGGGCTTAGCTATTGTCTGTAAAGGGCTTTGAAATCCTAAAGGATCAATCCTTGAGAGTGTGGGTGATTGTGGTGTGAGCTCAGCACAGAACCCAAGTGAGGGAACAGATTCCCTTGGCTTCGAGCAGCAGCTCCGTGAAGCTCTGCACAAGTATCACAAGTCTGTGGGATTTTTTTCCTTACCTTTGTGCTAATGGATCCATTGTTTCGTGTAAAGGTTTCTCCTGCTCTTGTTCTATCCTGTGTGACATTTACAGTACTCTTTGTTCCATTAGCAAAGTAATTTGAGATAGTTTATTATCCTTTGGAGACTTCAGTGCCTTCTGTTTAACTTCCACGTGACTGGACCCTGAAGACAAAACCTCTTAAAATAGTATGTGAGGCTAAAAATAGTGGGGAATGAGTTGCTTCTTATGAGTCAAATAATTAATTTAGTGCACTTTAGCGAGATCTGCAACATTAGGAAACACCCCTTGTTGTTTCCTCTTTCTCTTCAGAGCCACCAAAGCCTGCAGCAGCTTTCTCAGGAGCCAAGGTGTGTTTTACCTCACAGCTTGAAACCGTAATTTGTTTGTAGCAACTGCAGCTCCTTTATTTCAGAGGAACAGACAAATAGCATTTAATCACGTTCTGAATCACCGGGGGCAGGAATTGCTCTGTGATCCGAGTTTGTTACACAAGGACACGCTCGAGATGCAAGAAAATGGCAAAGGTTGTTCTTGCTGGGCTTTTCTGGCACCACAGCACCTGAGGGACAGGGGCTCTTTGGGTCCCCTGGCTGAGTGCCTCATCCCAGCCCCACACAAACACCACTCTGATTGTCCAGCAGTGGGATGGGTGTTGGAAAACATCAGGATTTACTGAGCCACGTGTGTGGGAATATCTTTTTCTTGCCATCAAGACTTTGCTCGCTCCCAGGCTGAAGTAACGCAGGAGGCAGCAGGGATGTGAGTGTGGGAAAGGAGGGGAAGTGCAGGAATTTGGTGTCTGGGCAGAGATGGAGCAGTGGGGAATCAGAGCGGCGACCTGGGCAGCAGGGTGTTCACACAAACGTGACAAAAATGTCACTTTCTGAGTGGGACCTTAAATCCCAGCTCGCTCAGCTGCTGAGGTCCCAACCTTGTGTGAAAGTCACCTCCTCACAGCAGCACCAGCTGTGCTCTGCCTTGGGCACTGCCTGGCACTGCCTGGTATGGCATGGGCAGCAAAACTCATCCCTTCTCCAACCTCCAGCTCCAGATGTGCCTCCAGCTGATTTCACAGCAGTGAAGCTGCTTTTGGCTTTGTGTCCATCTGCCCAAGGCCAACCTGCACAGGAAGGCAGAGCTGGGCAGTGGCCAGGTGAAGGCCCTTGGGGCAGGAGGCTCCAAGTTACTTGGGCCAAACTTCCGTTCCTTGGGTGGTCTTTGGCAATGTGCTGAACGCTCTGTGCCTCAGTTTCCCAGCCTGAAGAACAGCATGATCCCAATTAGCAGAGTTGGATGAGTTTGCAGAGTGCAGGAGGGCAGGCTCTGTTCCTCTTCATCCCAAGTGATGTCACCTCCATCCTCTCATACTCCCACAGGGACACGCTGGAGAGCCCAAATGGGCAAAAAATGTCATGAACAGAACAGGCATTAATGCCCAAGAGTGCAGAGGCCCCGTGGCAGGGCTGGCCTCTCCGATTGCTTTGTTTTCCTGCTCGGCTGAGTTGCTAACCTTCCAATAAACACCAGAGTCATTATCATAAAAATGTGGAAAATGCTGTCATTAAACCCCACCGGTTTCGCTTTCAAGTGCCTCTTTCTGGGACATCAAATTCATTTAGCTCATTCTCCAAAGCCACAAATCCTGAGTGGCTGCAGTAATGTGTGTGGTGGGAGGTGAGAGCACAGCAGGAATGAAATCGGGAGGAGAGGCTCTTCAGAGAGCTGGGCTGGGTTTGCTGCAGGGGTGAAGATGTGCTGCCTCCAGCTGCTCACCCCTCTCTCCCCTCAGACGTGGGGATGTTTTCCAGAAAACCCAGGTCATGCTCTGGAGTTGTGGTGGGTGCAGTGCAGAAATTGGAGGTACCCTCTGGAGAACCTGAGCATCCAGCAGGATGGGAGCTGCAGCAGAGACCTCCTCTTACAAAAGGAGTGATTTTGTTTCAAAATAAAAGAAGAAAACTTTAAATCTTTTCATCAGCAGAGGCGTGTGATAAATCCCTATGGTTAGGTTCCTCAGAGAAGCTGGGCTGCCCCATCCCTGGAAGTGCTTAAGGTCAGGTTGGACAGGGCTTGGAGCAACCTGGGACAGTGGAAGATGTCCCTGGCCACAGCAGGGGATGGGGCTGGATGGACTTTAAGGTCACTTCCAACTCAAACCATTCCAGGATGCAGTGATTCAGTGATGATCCCATTCCCCTTCCCCTCAGCAAATGTGGAATGACATCATTAAGGGTTCATCTGAGCACTGGGGTGGCTGAGCTGTCTGTGTGGTTGGGAAATGTAATGCTGGAGCCAAAATCTGAGGGTTTAAATAAAATAAAAAATGGGGTTTCCAAAAGGGTTTGGGGTCAGCTGGACCCTGCCCGGGGTCAATAAACCCCTGCAGCTATGGGAATTACCTGAGAGGATGAAATCTCAAAATCCTCTGAGTCTGTACAAGACTTCCATAGGAACCAGAACTTGTTCAAAAGTTTTTCATCTCCCAAAAATAAGCAGGATTTTGCTCCTCGGGGGAGTTCCTGGCACAAGCCCACCCTGGAGCAGCACGGTGCCATGTGCCCGCTGACGTGCCACGGTATTTGCGGAGCATCGGCTTCTGCGAGGGGAAGAAGAATCCTAAAATTATCTTTACTTACTTAGAATATAAATAGATGACAAATTGCTTATCAGCTGTTTCGTTGGAAAGATATTTAAAAATACTTGGGAGAGGAAACGTGCACTCTGCTGGAGATCCGGAGCCGTGCTCTATCCCAAGGGTCTCGGCGCCTTGCGGACAGAGCTGCTGGCTCTCAGCAGGGATCATTCCTGGGAGGAAAGAGTTCAGTTCATGGAGAGTTTATCATGGTGACAAGTTACCCAAGTCACGCCAAAAACACACAGAAAAGACACTTCAGGCAGATCCCTGGGAAGGAGAAAATCTTCCGTTCCTGGCTGGGAAGGTTGAGGCCGCGTTGGAGTGTGGCTGCAGTGAAACAGGAGCTGCTAAACCTGCCTTTGTTTGGGCACAGGGCAGGTGCAGAACAAGCCAAGAGGAGCATCAGGTGCTTCTGAATCGATCATCCCTCGTGGGGAGGAGGGAGTGTAATGGCTTTAGCTGGAGGGAGCAGAGCCCCGGGGGCAGCGCGTGTCCCGTGCCAGGTGACCGGGGGATGAGCTGGGCTGTACCGCTGCCATTCATTAATGGCTCTATCAAACAGGAAAGTGCTGAGGCCTTCTAATGTCCAGAGCACTCAGGGGGTGACAGAAATAGCCCATCCAGCAGGGGCTGGCTTGGAGTGAGACGGGAGCTGGCCACATCCTTACTGTAAAGCTGGGCGCTTCCAAGAACCCGAGCCGTGCCCGAGCTGGACTCTGCTCTGCTTCATTACAGGAACGAGTGTGCCCTGCTCAGACGTAACTTCCAGCATCCTCTCACGCAAGGCTGGATCCCCCTCCTGCCCACTGGGATTTGCATTCACTCCCAGCCTTCTCAGAGTGGAAAATCGAGAGGCTCTACACTGACATTGCCCATCCCTGCCGGGCCAAGGGGCTGGATCCTACAGGAGCAGGACGTTGCTTGGCTGAGATCCCACATTCTGTGGGGTCCCCAGCGTGGTTCTGGGCCCAGTGAGAGCCTGGAAAAACATCCCCCAGAGTGGAGGGGCACAGAAGAACAACAACTGCAGGCTGGGCTGATAGAGAAAGGTTCCACTGGGAATTTGTGCTTGCTGGGTGGGAGAAGAGGGGGCTGGGTGGTGAAGGATGGGGGGATGCTGATGATGGGAAGCAGCCTGGATGGGATTCCTCTGGACCATGTTAAAATAAAATCCACAAGGAGAAATTCCAACCTCTGCCCAGAGCAGCTGTGGCTGCTCCATCCCTGGAAGTGTCCAAGGCCAGGTTGGGCAGGGTTTGGAGCACCCTGGGATAGTGGAAGGTGTCCCTGCCCAGGGCAGAGGGTGGAACTGGATGGGCTTTAAGGTCCTTTCCAAACCAAACCATTCCATAGTTCTAAAATGCTGAGATTAAAATTAATCTCTGTGTGGCCTGAAAGAAACCCCAGAAATTATTTAGTCCTAGTTCAGCATATAAAGCCAAGAACTTCCCTAATAAACAGGAGGAACTGGAATTGCTCTCTGATGAGCATAAACTTGACCTGCTTGGTTTCATTAGGGAATCTGGGGGGGCGAAATCAGCTGACTGCAAAGGCAGAATTGATTTTAGAAGAAGAACCGAGTATTTAAGAAGAACTGAGTGGCAGAAGAGGAGGGCAAGCAGCCCGATAAACCCACTGGAACACGGAGGACGCCCTCGGGTTGCTCTGGGTTCCAGGGGGTTGCTCAGAGGATACTCAGGGCCACGGGGACGATGCTGAAAGCTGCAGGGAGGATGCTCTCGGGTTGCTCTGGGTTTCAGCGGGACGCTCAGAGGATACTCAGGGCCACGGGGAGGATGCTAAAGGCAGCAGGGGGGATGCTCACGGATGCGCGGGATGCTGCGGCTTGCAGGGAGACGCTCGGGGATGCTCAGAGGATGCTGGGGGCATCCCGGAGGGGGGGCTGCCGGGGGAGGGCGGCCGGGGGCTGCCGGGGCGGAGCCGCGGGGCCCCTCCCGACGGCTCTATAAACCGGCGGGGCTGGGGCGCGGGGCAGCCGTCGCTGGGTGCCCGGGGCCGGGCACAGCCCTGCCCGCACCGTGCCCTGCGCCATGGCGAGGGGACAGCTGTCGGGGGGCGCCTGGGGGGCCCTGGTGCTGCTGGGGCTGATGCTGCCGGCCGCCCCGGCGGGCGCCTGGTACAAGCACGTCGCCAGCCCCCGGTACCACACGGTGGGTCGCGCCTCGGGGCTGCTCATGGGCGTCCGCCGCTCTCCCTACCTCTGGCGGCGGGAGCTGCCGGCAGAGCCCCCCCGGCACCCCGAGACCCCCACCGGGGACAGCCCCCCCGGCACCCCGGGCCGCCCCGCCGGGGAGAGCCCCCCGGCCGCCGCCCCGGCCCCGGCCGCCTCCTGCAGCGCCTGCTCCGGCGGGGCTGGGGCTGGGGCGGCCCCCGCCCGGCCCCCGCACGACCCCCGCCCGGCCCCCGCCAGCCTCAGGTAACGCGCGGCCCGGGGATCCGGGGGATGCGGGGGATCCCGGGGATCCGGGGATGCGGGGAGCGGTCGGTCCGCGGTGCTCGGGATGCTCGAGGAGCGCGATCCTCCCGCGGGATGAGGAGCCCTGCGGTCACTCCGCGGCACCCGGGGGTCACCGGGTCACGGGGAGAGTGCAGCCCTGCGGGGTTTCATCAGGAAATTGGGGTTTCATCAGGAAATTGGGGTTCGGGGACCCTTGGAGGGGCGTCACCAGGTAAGAGAGTGTTTGTAGCGGCTGCACTTTGCCTTTAGGGAGGAAAAAGATCTGGATGAAGTGTCCGAGGTGAGGCTGGACTGGGCTTGGAGCAATCTCGTGTAGTGGAAGTTGTCCTGCCCATGGCAGGGGCGGAACTGGAGGATCCTTAAGGTCCCTTCCAACCCAAATCATTCCAGGACTGTAGGATTTCTGTGTGCATTAGGTGCATCACAAACCCTCGCTCTCTGGGGCCGAGCGTGGGACTGCCTCGGGGCCGGCTCCAGGCTTTACATTTCTTTCCTCTTATGTAAAGCTGGAGCCAGCATCCAGCTGAAATCCACCGAGGCTTTTAGCTGTTGGATCAGCCCCTGAAACATGTAGCTGTATTCCTCCCCCACTTCATTTTTTTTGGAGGAAATCTGGGATAAGAATCATTTTGGGAAAGCCCGGACAGGTCAGCCCAGCCCTGGATACGCAGGCTCTGACCTGGGTACACCCTTGCATCCCTCTGATTTCCCAGCCAAATATTCCCACTGGGAACCCTGTGGGCAGGTCTGAACCTGGAATTTGGGTCTGAGTGGGGTTCATCTGAGTGGGGTTTATCTGTGTGGGGTTTATCTGAGTGGGGTTTATCTGAGTGGGGTTGGTCTGAGTGGGGTTGGTCTGAGTGGGGTTTATTTGAGTGGGGTTTATCTGAGTGGGGTTTATTTGAGTGGGGTTTATCTGAGTGGGGTTTATCTGAGTGGGGTTTATCTGTGTGCAGTTCATCTGCATGCACGGTGGCAGAAAGGGAACCTGCAGGTCAGATCTGAGCCTGTGGAGGAGGAGATTTAATGAAACTTGTGAATGGAGCTGTGGTTTAAACACTGAAACGGGGTCCCACGTGGGGAGGGAGGTGGTGCTGGAGCTGGATACTCCAAAATAATCCAATCCCTCTTCTCCTTCCAGCTCTTCCCGCTTGAAGACCTGGCTCTGAGCCGCTGACAGACGTGGTGGAGATGCTTCCTGTGCCAGAGGAGCACGGACTGCCCGCCTGGGACCTGCTCACCTGGCAGGCAGGGAAGGGTCTCCTCAGCAGATCTCCGGGTACTCTGACCTCTCTGGAACCACACAGACAGTGACATCCCAAAAAACCTCTGATTTCTCACGGCCGCTGCCCAGCCGCAGCGCTGAATCCATCTTGTTGCCAGGTCAGCCTTGCTCTATGAACTCGGGGAGAAAGAAACAGGGGAGATATTTATTTTTGTTTATTTTTTTTACATTTCTGTACTGGCTTGTTTGCAATCTGATAGAAACATGTACTGTTCGCTTCCTCGGAACCTGCCCTCATTAAAATGAGATGTGATCAAAGGAAACTTTGGCTTCCTGCTGCTCTTTAGGGTCTTGCTGGGGTTTTTTGAGAGCAAAACGTGGTCCAGCTCTGCACGGGGCAGACACGTCAGCAGTTGGGTCACTCCCAGATTTTTCTGACATGATTTAACTCCTTGACACCATTTTTTCTGCAGTTTTGCAGTAAATCTCTTTTACTGCCTGTCAGGGAGTCACTGCCAGGCCAAGTGCCAACTCAGATGACAAAATTTTGGGATATTTCCTCAGCTGGGCTGTACAAAAGCTCTGCGAGCCCTCACTGCTCTGCTTGTGTTTTAGGGTTTAATTTCTATATATTGCCACTGATGGAAATGAATGTCAATCCCCATTAAAAGAGGGAGAAGCCTCAGGGCTGGGCAGGAGCACGAGGGGAAGGGGCGTTGGAGCGGGTGGGATCTGGGATTTAGGGAAAACTGAGCACTGGGGGGCTGAGTCTGGCACTGCTGAGCTTTAACCTGCCAGCGGGTTTTGCAGGAAATTTGACAAAAAGAAACATTTCCACCACTTTTAGATGAACCCCCTGCTCCTGCCAAGGTTTGTGCTGCCTTTGGTTGGGGTCTGGAAGGAAAAGCCCCCCCTGGGGCTTGTCAGGGGAGCCAGGCCAGGCCAAGCCCCCCCTGCCATGCTCCTGTCGCCCCTCATGGGCTCTCGGGGAGGATTTTGGGGGCTGTATCCCATGAAGGATCGTTCTCTCCCAGTTGTTTCTTCACCAGTTTCTCCTCTCCTTCCCCCCTCCCATAATTTTCCAACTCCTGCCCTTTGATGGCACGGTGCTGGGATGGGCCTGATGAGACACAATTGCTGCACTTGCATCCATCCTTGGCAGGAGCCAGCAGCCCCTGGAGAGGCCATGGGGCCAATTCCTGCAGGAAAAGAGGGGATCAAATGAGGCAGAAGAGGTAAAGCTCTGCTTTGAACAGGAGGGTGCACAGGGGCTGAAGGGTGAGGGGATGAGAGACCCTCATCTGTTGGCAGCAAACACCTGAACGTGTCAGTTGATGGATTGAACCCAGCGAGACAATCAGTGAAAACCACAAATCCTTCTCTCCTCACCTTGAAAATCATTTTTCCTGTAGAGCTCGAGCTGATTCCCCACCAGGGCTGTAAAATAATTTCCTCTGTGCTCCTGTTTCTCTGGAGACATCTGGGCCTTCCCTGGGGGTCAATGAGCCAAATAAAAAGGAAGGAAGCTTAAAAAGGCATTTAATTACCCTCCCACCTCAGGGCAGAGCCCAGCCATCCCTAGTGGATGTGAATCTGATCCCTCACAGGCTGATCCCGAGGCAGATCCCACATTCTCCCCTGTCACATCCCCTCGCTCCGAGGGGCTGCGTGCCCGGACCACCGGGACCCCACGGCTTGGGCCACAGGGACTCCCTGTCCAGGGCTCTGTGAATGCTCCAAAATGAAATGCAGGACACTCAGGGGCAATGCCAACATCTGGGATTTACAGCTGGGAGCAAAGTGAGGGGATAAAAGCTCTGGAGAGGAGCATGGGGAGGTGCAGAGCTGCAGCAGCACATCGGCCCTGGCCCCGTTCAGGGTCCTGGTGCTTCCCCATCCCCCAGAGCAGCTGTGCAGGGAAAACTGCAGCCCGGGAGTGGCTGCAATTCCCAGTGACACTTTGGGATGGGGGCTCAGAAATTCCAGGTGCCACTGGCACAAACCATCCCTTCCCTGCCACCATGTCCCGGGGGCTGTGGGGCGGTGGACAGGAGGTGCCACCAGGAGTGCCAGGAGTGCAGTGGCAGCCGGTGGCTGCCCCAGGCTCAGAAATTCCAGGTGCCAGTGGCACAAACCATCCCTTCCCTGCCACCACGTCCCGGGGGCTGTGGCAGGAGGTGCCACCAGGAGTGCCAGGAGTGCAGTGGCAGCTGGTGGCTGCCCCAGGCCCTCTTGTGGTCACACCGGCCAGCAGGGAGGTGAGGACGAGCCCTGCCACCACGTCCCCATCCCTGCAGCCTTGCAGAGCAGGGAACTGCCCCCGTGGGTGCCAAGGCCACAGGTCCTGGAAGGGATGGACTCTGGCTCTCTGTTGTCCCCCTGCCCCGTGGGTGGATTTGGGCAGCGCAGGGATGAGGCTGCTGGGGTGCCCGTGAGCACTCAGGGGCTCTGGAGCTGGATGTGGCCCAGGTCCCTCCCCAGGGCTGCCCTGGCACCTGTGGTGGCAGCAGGGGCTGGCCGTGCCCGCGGTTCCCGGTGCCAGGGCCGCGCTCTGTTCCAGGCCCGGAGAATCCCAGCGGCCGGGGCAGGCAGGAAGATGTCCCACCCCAAGCCGGGGCAGCTCCCTTTCCTTCCCGGCTCCCTGGCCTCTCCCAGGGGAGCAGCAGCAGCCGGGGGGGCTTTGGGAAGGGCAGAGGCCGGGCAGGAACCGGCCGGCCCGGGGGAGCTGCTGTGAGCTCACGCTGGGCTGGCCCGGGCACACAATGGCCCCAGAGGGTACCAGGAGGAAGAAAACTCCCCAAGGAATTTCCTCCACGTCGGCTCCGCTCAGAAGCTGCTCCTCAGGGATGCAGGGCAGGGCTGAGCACACCTCTGGCTGTGGATGGCAATCCCTTGCGCGGAGCTGGCTGTCCTGGATGGTCCCTGCAATGTCCCCAGGGCACCAGCCTGCTCAGGACCCAGTCCCTCGGGAGTTCCATCATCCATGGGGCTTTCCTGCACACAGCAGACATCCCAGCTGCTCCAGGGAAAGGCGCTGTCCTGCCTGGCAGAGGCAGTGGGTGTCTGTCCCACGGGGACTCTGGGTGTGGAGCAGGCTGGCTCGAGCTGGGGTGTGGGAGCAGCATCCCCGGAATTCCCACGTGGAGCCTCAGGTGTGGCACAGCCAGCAGCACCGGCCCCTCCGGCTCGGCTCCCACAGCTCGGCTCCCACAGCTCGGCTCCCACAGCTCTGCCACCTCCTGCAGATAAAAAAGGAGCTGCCAGCTTGTGCAAGACTGATCTCCCGGCTCTCAGCAGCGGGGCTGAACTTTCTGGACTTTCACAACCCACAAAACCTGTAATTAATCCTCCTAATGATCAGTTCTCCTTCTATCCCCATCAATCTAACCTGGGGAATGTTTACAGCTCAATGGTGCCACACACAGAGGCTCAGGGAAAATGAGATGGTGTTTTTTATGAGCTCTCCTCATTCCTGGTTCCTCCAGCAGCACAAATAAATCATCCCCTTTGAAACCATCCCCTGGGAGCAGCCAGGCCCAGCAGCCCCACGCTGAGTGATGGTGAAACAAGGGAGGAATGAGCACGGGGCATCCGAGCCAGTGGGAAATCCCAGGACTTCATTTATTCCCAGTTGGAGCTAATCACTGCAGTGCAAGGCTCTGCTCTCCCAGCACGAGGAGCATCCCTGAGCTCGGGCACAGCTCCCTCCACAGCCAGCAGAAGGTGCTGGGGGTGCTGGAAGTGCAGCCTGCTGGAGTGGAAAGCTGGATGTGGACAAACAGCAGCACTGAGGAGGAGGCTGAGGGGGAGGAAGAGCAGCTGCCATGGCTGGGAAGGATCCAGGAGAGGCAGGAGCAGTGTCCAGCCCAGCCCTCGGCCAGCAAAGCTCCCAGCCCCGAGCAGGATGAGCTCAAGGGAGTGACCGACATCCCGGGACAGGGATGGGATGGGCTGGGGGGGACAAGGAAATGCCACCAGGTCTGCCCAGAGCCACTCACGGAGCCACGAGTGAGACACAGGGCTCCTGGCACCTCAGCAGTGTGTGTGCAGAAGGACCCCAAACCTCCCACCCCTCTGGAAGCTCTGCACAGCCCGGCCACTCCATCATCACCATCCTCCTCCTCCGAGAGCTCCTCACCCTCCCACTGCCTCAGGAACAAACCTGAGCAGGCCAGGGGGGTCAGCTGAGGATTTCCCAGGTTCTGAATGAAGGTGGCCTTTGTGGGCTCCCCAAAATCCCCACTTGGAGCTGCCAGGGAGCCTGGAGGGTGGCTCTGATTTCCATAACTGGGAAAGTCCTCCCAGCACCTGCATTTTAAATCAGTGTTGCAACAGCACCAGGCAAACGGAGCAGGACACAGGTGGGATTCTCTGTCACTGCTCAGCCAAGGGCAGGGAGGGAATTGGAAGCAGATGTTGACAAAAAGAGCCCCAAACCCAGCCCCAAACCCTCCCAAGGCACTGAGCTCCCAGGTCCCTGCACTGCCTCTGCCTCCAGGCAGGCCCAGCCTGGACTCAGAGATCTGCCCAAACCAAAACCCACAGAAATGGAAATGGAAACTTCTGCCTGAGCAGGATCTGCTGGGTTTACCCCGGGCTCAGGAACCTCTCTGTGCTCTCTCCTTTTGGGACTTGGGAGGGTGGCAAAGGCAGGACGGGAAGAACCAGAGGGATTTTGTACCTCGTGAGGATGCACCTTTGCACAATGCATTTTAATGCTCCTTCCAGCTCCTTCTCTGTCAGCTGCAGGGAAAATGCAGGATTTCCCCGTGCTCCGTGGTTGTGCCAAGGGTGCACAGGCTGTGTCCCAGGACAGGCAGCACAGCCCCGAGCTGGGTGCCAGAGGCACAACCACAGCTCCTAAAGTAGAGGGATCACAAAACAAATGTTTTATTTTAGGATCACAAGGTGCTCAGGCAAAGATCCAGTGCTGAGTCAGGGCTCTACCAAGT